GGCTTGTAAACTGGTGGCTCTGGCTTTGGCTTATAAACTGGTGGCTCTGGCTTTGGCTTTGGCTTTGGCTTCGGTTTGTAAACTGGTGGCTTTGGCTTTGGTTTGTAAACTGGGACTGGTGGCTCTGGCTTTGGCTTGTAGACTGGAGGAGGCTCAACGACTGGCGGCTTAGGTGTTGGTTTGTAGACTGGAACTGGCGGCGGGCATGGCTTTTTGAAGGGTATTTTTGGTGGTAATGGGAAAGGAGGGAGAACCTTGGGTGGAAGTGGTGGGAGAGGCAAAACATGGCCAAACTTCTTAAGCCAAGGGTGACCCTTAGGCAAAGAGGGTTTTGGGAGTGTAGGGTGCTTAAAGATTGGCCAAAAGAAGGCGGATGTGCAAACTGCCGACGAAAATTTCAGTTTTCCTGTGGGTCCAAAGGTGTGTTTTTGGTTCGACTTTGACAGGAAAATGATCTTAGAGGCTTCTAATCCGCTGTGAAATGCACAAGGTGCATTTGCTGCATTGTGCAGTTGTACGTAGCATTCTTCAGCTAACTTTCCATCTCTCAAGATTTCTTGAGGAAGAGATACCTTGAAGTGTCCTTCGTCGTTCAGCTTTCCAACACCTCTTGTTTTGAATTTGCCATCTCCAAACTTGCAGTCAATGGTTACTTTTAACCCTGAAATTTAAGGTCACACATTTCTAGTTAATCAACCTGTGCATTTCCATGTATCGTATTATGGAAAAATGGCTAGATACAATACATCATGCATCATCTTTCCAACCACAAAATTGAACATGTGAAAACAATCTAAAAACACATGATTCCACATTCCAAAACATTGTATAGCACATGGGCATTCCTCGATTTGTGTCAACATCCTGCTTCCCTCGTGTCAAAATGAAGAATAAAACCATGGGAAGATAGATGCAAACTTTGGCAACTATTGCTACTGTACTTAGAAGCTTACCCTTACAGTTAACTAAAAAGTCAACGTTTTTTGGTACAAATAACCCATGACATTCCCATTTATGGAAAAAAAAATTCAAGTTACAATTAGGTGGTTAACCATTCCAATGAAATGAAAAACCAATGAGGTTAATTAAGATCCACAAGATTCCCTTGTTTAGTTGAAATATCCGAGAGTGGTTAACGGAAAGAAGTCTCTCCATGCAAAAGTTCATTTGGAGAGGCATTTTCCGTTAAACACATTCAGGTATCTCAACCACCAGCATTCCGTATACTAGTCTTATCTTATTCCAAAATCAAGAGTTAAGTTGCTGATTAGTTTAATTATCTGTGTCGGTATAACCTCTGCTGGTTCATGATGAGGATGTTTATAAGTAGCTACTTGAGATATATTAGTGTCCCAAGGAAGAAACATGCATGCATATATATATATATCTATATATATATATATATATAATGAACGTATTATATGCATGACTGTGATATTATATATATATATATATATATATATAGGAAGGAGAATTGAATGTAGTACCTGACAATGCATGGCTTGTCTTGATATTGTTCTCCTTACAGTCACCACATTCTCCACGACCAACTACCTCTACAGTACCATAACAGAAACTCGCAGAAAACAATAATATCAACAAAATCCCCAGAAGAGCTTCAGGCACAAAACCCCGCATCGAAAAGTATGGAAAGAACAACTTAAAGTCTCAATGATAAGCACATATAAGACGATCCAACAGATCTTAATTGGCTTCTGAAAAGCCTTGTGTTTGAGTGAGTATTTGAATCTGTTGCTACTTGCATATATATACACATATATAATGAGATCAAGTTCTGATCAGTTATGGGGTTGGCTGGTTCACCTACGGAGAGAGCAGTAAAGAACCTCACATGAAGTTAAGGGCCCCACCCATGCATCACTGAGAGCTTAATTGGTGATTGATCAAGAGGGCTACGCCAGCCCATATATCTCATTCAATGACTTCTCAACTACACCACATATATTGTGCTTAGTTAGCATAGCATGTGAATTCAATATATCCACCAACTAACTAAAAGTTTGTCATAAATACCTTAATTTTTCCTTCTCAATGACTTTAGACATGAGTAAAATCAATGATTTTTGGCAACCCTTTTCATACTTTCATAAACTCTAAACAACCCATCTAGACATTGATCAAACAGTTGGCGGCTGCAAAATTAAAAAAATATACATATATATTTATGTTTACCATGTGAATGCAATATCTCCAACAACTAAATAAAAGCTTTTCATCTGATCTCAAATACCGTGTAGAAAGAGGAAAGATTCATGATCCTCTTTAGGTGTCGTTTGGTTCGTGAAATTCGAAGTAAAGCTGGACTTATTCCAAAAAATGATGAAAGTGTTAAACATTTTCACATCATGAGTGGGTGGCAATAAAAGTAAGAAACAAAACGAAAGTATTTTACAGAGCAGATTACTTATAAGATTAATGCATGTTGATGAAGTGTGATTTGCATAGAGGATTACAGAGTCTGTAATTCCATGCAGAATGAATAGGAATGTTGGCAGGGAGGATGGTCATTCTATTCATCTTAATTATTATTTCATTACGATGTGAAACTTCTCTTTACAACCTCTTATTCTATTCTATCTCTTAAAAAGGAAAAAAAAATTCTAAAAAATAAAAAAAAGGAAAATAATGGTAAGTTTCATATTAAAAAATTTCTTTCAAACAGAGAGGAAAGGAATGGAAACACATTAAACTTTTTTAAAAAATCTATCTTTTCATCTTAAATGATATATTTTAAAGGGTATATTGGTAAAAATAAGTTAGTTGAAAGTTGATAAACCAATTAACGACTAATAAGCTAGATAATAGTTGGTTAACGAAAAATCAGTTGATAATGTGATAATTGGTTTATTTGTTAGAAAGTTGAAGAGATTATTTTAAAAGTTGTTTAAAGTTGAGAGTGTGTTTTAAAAATTTGATTAAAAATATTTTTTCCATACAAACCGCCTCTTTCTAATAATATATATGTTTTTATTTCACTTACTTTTAAAAAAGAAAGAAAAAGAAGGTTGGTAAGTTTATATTTGCGGTTTTCTAGGTTCGATAAAAACAGAAGAAGAAAATTTATTATCAATATTTGTTGTTGTTTAAAGTATTCTCTATGTGTGATTGTAAATTATGCTTTACTACAGAACTATATAGTTCCATACATGGGGTGATTTCAAATTAATTACATGTTATTTATTAGCATTATTTTGGGTTTTGATATGTTATTACCAACTGCTTGGAATAAGTGTGGCATAATAAACAAGGATGTATTTTGAGATAAAAGTAGCATAATCAGAAGAGATTTATACTAGGATAAAGATGACACAATCAGGAGAGGTGTATATTTGGGATAAGAGTGACATAATCAAAAGAGATGTACTTTGGGATAAGGGTGACAAAATAAGAAGAGACATATAATAAGATAAGAGTGACATAATCAACTGTATGTTAAAAATAGGATTTTGATCATGTGGAGTTATGTTATCGCATCCTCATGATGCGATGAATTTGGTTTATCGCATCTTTATGATGCGATGAGATGTTTATCGCATTCTTAAGATGCGAGGAGTATATTTTATCGCATGACTATAATGCGACAAAGTTGATTTATTATAGTGCTTGTCGCATCAAGGTGGTGCTAGGAAAGTGAATATCGCATCCTTGAGTTGCGACAAATGGGGGTTATCGCATATGTGATTTTTACCCTGTAATAGCAATTTAAAAAGATTTTTCACTAGACCTTCTAGTCTAACCTTTGTTTTGTTTTAAAAATGTGCATTACAGGTCGGGTACATATGGAGAGTAAGTGAAAGAGAAAGATGTGAAAGAAGTTATGATTGCTTTACATCTATGAATTTTCGGAAGCTATTATTGTGCATGTACCTGAGAGCTTGTTATATTTGCAAGTCATATACTTGGTGTAAAATTAAAAAGTTTGTAGCTACTTTTATATGTATCAATTTGTACATTTAGGACCAATGTGGATATATTTTTTTTATTAACCTGGATATCCAACCTGCTATGCGAGCCGACTAATCTCAAGACGACCACCTGCTTTGCAGATAGCCCGGAGTCACCGCATTTGAACCTCCATGGCCACAGGGGGTTTTTATTACCCCTTGGATTTGAACCTGGGACATCCAGTAATTTTTGACCTTTAGAGCCAAACTCAGACCAATCAGGAACTACCCTTGTGGTTACCAATGTGAATATTTGTGTCATGTTAAATGGAATATGGTTTTTATGCAAATATGAAAGTGAGGTGTTACAAGTTTGATATCAAAACACGTAAAATGATCAAAAATGACATTTTAAAAAATTAGTCAAATACAATATTTTATAATATAATTAAAACAAATATTTAATAATATATTATATTAATACAAACAAGATAGTAAATAAAGAATTAAAATATTATAATACATTACTTTAAATAACTTTAAATTGATTATTATATATATTATAAATTTTAAATTTGTTAAATCAAAATTTTAATTTATGATTTTAAATAATCATTACATATGATATTTAATAAAAGTAAACTTGAAATTCGAGTTATTTCACCGAATAACACAATTGATCAATGTCAAATATTTTAATTAAATAGTATTTTTTTCAAAAATTACAATTATAATCAAATTAAATATTTTAGTAAAATCATTTAACACAATATCTATGAAACAAAATAAATATAACTTTAAAATTTTATGTAACTTGCAGAAACATTAATAGAACTATTATATATATACTTTTTGATAACTAAATATATCAAATAATGATATAAAATAATTGATATGATTAATAATAGTTTTAAATAATTTATACTATAAAGCATTTGACAAAAACTCTTAAAAACTATTTTTATGCATGAAGTACTGTTTATTGATGCATATTACTTAAAATTGAAGATTACAACTAAATTTGCATAAGTACAACTTATTAAATCTCTATGTTTGAATTCGTGTAACTAACTGCGGATGAACATAATCAAATAGAGGATAAACATCTAATTTTAAAATATAAAAAATCTTAAATATAATTAGGATAATTATTGAGTTCTAACAGAATACTTAATTATTATTTTTACAAAAAAACATATTATTAAACCTAAATTAAGTCACTTCTTTACGATAAAATAAATTATAATAAAAAATCTGAATTAAAAAATACACAAATAAAAACTTTTAAATAGTTAATCTGATAATTGATATTTTTTTTTGCAAATTTTATTGATATTTTTAAATTTATATATTATTCAAAGATAAAAGCATTATCGTGTTCTCAAAACCACTTAAAATCGTATTATATCAACATAGATAAAAATTAAAACGAAACATTGAAATCGAGATGTGTCTCGATGCATTGACGATTATCCTTCTAGTTAATATTAATGTATGTATATAATTAAAATTACTTAATAATTTTCAACTAACATTTATTAACATTAGTTAATATTTATTAATACTAAATAATCTATTTTTATTTTTATTTTTATCTATTAATAATTTATTTTTATTTGTCAAGCGATATCTTAGTCTTTTCGATTTTTTTTCTTTTTGTTTATTAAGTATCATTTTTCGTTTACTTTTTGGTATTTTATTCTCTTTGATTTAATCAAATTGCATATTTTTTGATAAAAGAATCAATATGTAAAAAAATTATATTGTTTGATTATTGTTTATGATAAAATAATTAAACATTTTTTGTACGATTCATTATTTTATATTTTTGGTCATTATAGTTTAATTTTCTTATTGGTTTGATTTCTGTCCCTAACGTCTTTAAAAAGCAAGTCGTTGAGTACCTCTCTCATGATAGTATTTTAATTTTTTTCTTAATTGGGGACTAAACAATTAAAATTTTTATAGGACAAACAATTATCTATATTAGGTTATGTTCACCGATAAATGTATGCGATTTTATTAGTAGAAGGTATAGTTTTATAAACTTATTGTAACATATATATATATATATATATATATATATATATACACACTATATTATAAAGCATTTGGCTAAAACTTTTAAACCCGTTCATCCCAAAACGATTTCATTCCTATCCGATTTCATCCATATCTGAATTCGTGTAACTAACTGCAGATAAACACAATCAAATACATGATAAACATCTCATTTTAAATATAAAAAATCTAAAATATAATTAGTATAATCATTAAATTCTAACA